CTCCCTAGTGCTGGGATTAAAGGCATGTGCCACTGCCTCCTACATTTACTGTTTTGTGAGATAGGGTCGCACTATGTAGCCCTGGCTGGCCTGGAACTCACTATGTAGACCAGGCTAGCCTCAAAGTTACGGACAGCCCCCACTTTCCACCACGCCTCCTGAGTGCTGATTGATTTGGGGGATGGAACCACTGAGCTACACTCCCAGCCTCACTTTGTTTGTTTGTTTGTTTGTTTGGGATGTGACTCAGTTGGTAGGCATGTCTGCCCAGCCTACAGGAAGCTTGGGTTCAGTTCTCAGCAGCGCATAAACTAGATGTGGTGGTACAGAGCTATAAACCACGCACTTGGGTTGTGGAAGAGGAAACTCCCCCCACTTTTGTTTTTTTAATTGAAGTGTAGTCACGTATCTGAAGTCTAAAAACTGTGTCAGACTTGGGAGCACTTGCCTTGCCCATGTGAGGACCTGGCAGTGATGCTCAGAGCTACAGGGTTTGGCTTGCTGAGTTTACACACAGCGACACACCTGTGTGGTCATCACTAGAATCCCTGGTGCATGGCCTCTTTAAGTCAGGCGTGCAGAAGTGCACTGGGCACCTCAACACAGGATCCCTCGACTTGGGGTCCATGTGGACTCCTGGTATCTGTACCCCATTCAAATTCTAGGCAAACATTTTCCTGAGGAAGGGGAGCAGTGCCTTCACCAGAGTCTCCTAAAGTGGAGACAATCAAAGCTCTCTCTGAAGACTGGCATGGTGATTCCTTCCTTTCTTTCTTCCTCCTCTCATGGAAATTCTATGTATGTATGTATGTATGTATGTATGTATGTATGTATCTATCTATCTATCTATCTATCTATCTATCTATCTATCTATCTATCTATTTGAGGCAGGGTTTCTCTGTGTAGCCTTGACTGTCCTGGACTCACTTTGTAGAGCACACTGGCCTTGAACTAAAGATCCACCTGCTTCTGCCTCCCTGAGTGCTGGAATTACAGCTCCTCCTGGAAATTTATTGTGGTGGGTTTTGTTGCTGGTGGTTTTGGTCCTTTGTTTTTGGAGACAAGGTCACAGTTGGCAGCCCTGGCTGACCAGAACTCCGCTCTCACAGACCATTGAAGGTGCTGTGGCAGGCACTGCCTCTACACCTTATAAAAGCAGTGAAACGTAAATAGCATTTTGCAGCTCTGGGAACTGAAGCTCAGAATGACACACATTACTCAAGTCCTACTTGCAAAAGCTAGTCTTCCGTACTGGATCTTTCTTTCGGGGGCGAGATCACAACAGCTTCAATGATGCCAGATTGCTTAACCTCGGCTCCAAACAGGCCAAGCTTGAAATACCAGGCCGAACTGGGAAAGACTGAAGTCCAAAGCCCAGGTTTAGGTTTTTTGTTTTTTTTTTTTTTTTTTTAATAACTCACTTCTAACCAATGAAAACTCTTCGCCGAGGTGGAAGCGCAACCTTTAAGTGCCTAGAGGTGTGGCCTCCGCGGGCTGTCTCCCGTAGGAGCTTCTACCTACCCACGAACCGTCAGAGCAGGGCGCTGGGCAGGCTGGCTATGATTGGCTGATCAAGACGAGCAACATTTGAATTTCAAGGAAGGCCAGCGCAAGGCTGGTTCCTTCTGCTGCAGAGATAAAGCTTTGCAGTGAGAGGAACTGGAGTGACTGGAGGCGGAGATTAGGCGGCAGTACCGGCCGGGGGTGAGATCAAAATCGCCAGCTGGTTCTACCTTCCGTTCTTCACCGGCAATCAGCTCCTACTGCAAGTGAAAGATTCAAGAATGAACAAGATATGTTGGCGCTTTGTGAACCAGCAAAAGTGCTGGCACTTACAAATTGATAGTTTGAAATTGAACTTTTCATTCTCGACCCCCACTCCCAGACAGGGTTTCTCTGTCCTGGAACTCATTCTGTTAGACCAGGCTGGCCTCGAACTCAGAGATCCACCTGCCTCTGCCTCCACCCGGCTGGAAATGGAATTTTTAAAAGATAATACCCTACGTAGATAGAGCCTGTTGGCGGAGGCTGTATCTGCAGTGGAAGGCAGTCCAGGTCAGGGCTGGTTCCTGCCCCTCAGCTGTTGCGCTAGGAGACTGTGCGGAACTACGCATTTTACAAAGAGCAAAGAAAGAAAAAAAAGGGCTGACAATTTCTCTCCCCGAGGTTTCACTCTGAACTCTCTATGCCTGGCTTCTGCCTCCTGAAGTGCTGGGATCAAAGGCGTGGGCCACCACTCCCAGCTAAACCCACGACTTCCTTAGAAGTCTTGTTATCAGTTGAAATTGCATCCACTTAGTATATGTAATAGAAACCATCAAATCTGGGTTGAGTACTCCCTCAAATGGAATAGGATAAATGAAAAAAAAAAAAAATTACCTCTCAGCTTAGAGAGATGGCTCTGTCGGAGGCCTTGGGTTCATTCCCAGCACCTACATGGAGTTAAACTCCAGTTCCAGGGCTCTGACACCGTCTGGCCGCCTTGGGCGCTGCATGCACAGTCCTGTAATCCAATCACCTTCCTAGGCTAAAGGCTTCTAGGAGAAAAGAATCCTTTTCTCTTCTAGGAGAAAAGGATTTACGCCCTAAGCTTGAATCCTTTTCCATGGCGTACCTCACTTCCCACTTGTGGCTTAGACTGCACAACTCACAGGGCCACCAAAGCAGCAAGAGAACTTTCAAGGTTTTGTTGTTGTTGTTGAAATTCACTTTATTTTAAAAAAAAACAAAAACAAAAACCCTCATGAACAATAAATTACAATACTTTCCCCTTTATAAATTCTTCATAAAATATATTTGACAATTTTAAAAGAAAGGTTTTAAAGTTGCTTTTGTTTCTGATGTGCTGATGACGTCTTTTTTTTTTTTTTTTGACTATTTTGTCATGCTGGTGAATTATTTTGTAGCTGCTACGACATGTTTGATTGGTAACATTTTACAATTAAAAACAGCAAGGAAAAAACAAAAACAAAAACCCAGACCTGCAGAAAGAACTATTCTGTGCTACTTATCTGACACTTAACATTTACTTCATCAGAATGACAAAGTATCCCTTAGCACCAAGAACCTACAGAACCCCATGTTTCTAAGTGACAGCTAGTGCAGACTAACACCCTAGGAACTAACTGTACAACCTTACAGTGACTGGACACAGCTGCCTTTAAGCTTTGAAATATTTGGTCTTTTTTTTTTCTCTCAATTAAGACAAATTTCATAAGACACTAAAAACCATGGCAACAAACTATGAGGAATAACTGTTTATTGAGTACCTATTATGGGCAAGGCACTGTGCACAATTTCTTGATTGCATTTTTTGTTTTTAGCAAATATCCAAAATTTCCAAGTATCACTCATCTTTTATTTCTTACCCAAGTCTGGAGAAAGTGCTTGGCTAAGTGCCATTAAAATAATGGTTTGTTTTTAGTTTTTAGATTATGCATGTGTGTGGATCCCCTGGAGCTGGAGTTACAGGTGGTTGTGAGCCACCCAACCTGGGTACTGGGAACTGAACTCCAGTTCTGTGCAAGAATAGCAAGTCCGCTTAACTGCTGAGCAGTCTCTCCAGCCCCTACAACTACAAACCTTAAATTGTTGTTGTAGCAACTAAACCAGTGCTGAGCACACAGTAGGTACTTAATAAATATCTTTGAAGGAACAAAAGACAAATTACTATCCTTCTTGTTGATATCATAAGCTATTTTAGAATACAAGGGCTTGAGAACATTCTGGAAGAAATTTCCTGATCCCCTCAAACCCTTACCTCTAATGAAGGAAAGGATTCTTTTTCACAGGAAAAAATCTTTCAAAATAAATATAACTGGGGCTGGACATTTAGCTCAGTGGTGTAGCACATGCAAGGCCCAGGGTTTGCTCCCAGTACCAACCAAAACAAAAGACAAACCAAATTCCTCATTATTTTCAAGAAGGCAGGATCAAGAGCTATGTGCTTAGGACACCAGGGCTTCAAGTACACAGGTACTTGTTGGTGTACATCACATGTCAGTCTGATGGCAGGCCAAGGCGTAGGTTACACGTTATAATGACTTCTAGTTTCCTGCAACTCCATCCCCTGGTCAAATCCCTGTCAACTTTGTGACCCAGAGGGTCAATTACCACGAAGGCTCGGTACACTTCCACCGCTTATTTCTGAAAGAATTATTTAAGTCTGCAAGTGCTATTAAGTATATGTGCCTTTTTTTAATTTGATGAGATTTGATTTAATTAAAGCCTCTCCATGTTTTTAAACTTCCAGATTGATTCAGCTAGAATTTTACATATTCCATCTTTTCTGTTTTATCTTTTATTACCCTCTGAACACATTTTATTTACTGATTTTGGAGTGCTGGGACTGAATCCAGGGCCTTCACATGCGAGACAAGCGCTCTCCGCTGAGCTGAGACCACCCCTCCTGCGAAGGTGTAGAGGCTGGAGCAATGAGATGATGACAGCTGTGATGTCAACGTGCTGGCACTGTTTTGGCTTTTGCATCTTAGGGCTTTCTAAAGCTCCCATGGGGTCAGTGGTGTGCCGCTCTGTCACACACCCGGGCCCCAGGTTCCACCCCAGCACCAGAGGTGGGCATCTCGTGCTTTATGAAGCTTCCCTAGATACCATGGCAGAATCTACTTCATCTTAAAGACTGTTGTTCTGGTGTAAGAAAGCAACCTTTCCTGCATTAGCAGGAACAATCTGGAGACAGCCATGCAGTTAGAATTTCACTTCAGGAGTTAAGTCTTGCTTTCTGACAGACAATCCCAGATGACCATATGAAATCCACAACTTTCTACTCAGAAGCAGTTGATGGCATAGAATTTTACCCATTCCCAAACTCTGTATGCATCACCTCTCACTTTGGAAAAAAAGCGACCAATATTTATGAAAGTGATTACCAGTCCCATTACTGTCTCACCTGAGACAGAAAACCGCATCAGAGTCAGAGTGACAGGGACTCCAGTGGTCCAACAGGAAGACACACCAGGGCTAGCGACTCGAGGCTGAGCTCATTTGTTTCTTCAACTTTATGCCGATATTTATAAAGTCTTAAAACCTGAAATCAATACATCAAGTACTACAGTTGCGTAAAGCAATGTTTTGAGAACAGAAGAATAGCATCCTCAGGTTACAGCAGATGCCCCAGTGCAGTAGTTTAATTAAACAAATGCTCAGTTACCTAAAGGTCTAGGTGAGCCATCAGCATCCTTGCCGACCTTCTACATGAGACTACATGACTAATTCAACTCGAAATGTTACGGGGCTCTGGAGAGCTCAGACATACTTCAGCAGTTTGAACTGCTTGGTTTCAGTTATGGTTAATCAGCCATTTTAGACCCTCCAAAATGATGCCTTTAAAGAGACGTATACTGGGAAAACGAAACAAAACAACAAAAAATACCCTTACCCATGTTTCCAGTAGTAAGAGGGGCAGGGAAGGTGGATGAGAGGTGGTTTGTGTGGTTTTTCATCACCAATTTCACCAGCAAATCTCAAAAAACCAAAGCTGTATCAAATAATTTAAACAGAAGTGGCATTTTCTTCATGTGGAATGCAAAATGCACACACTCACATACTTACATATACATAAATACATACATACATGTTTCCTTTACAAAGCTTCAAAGGTCGCATTACCAGCATGCAAACCTCTTTTCCATGGAAGTGCCTAATACTGACAAGGAATGTCTAAAATACTTAAAAGCATTTTCCAGAAAATTGGACTCTCTTCTCTGCTTGGCTCTTAAGAGAATTTTTTTTTTCTGCCAAACTTTTACCAATGATTTAAAGAAAAAAATTTTTACACCCACATTGGTAATACACATTCAAAACATACAATAAGATGGCCTGCATGGATTAAGAAAAACGAGAGAAAAAAACTACCCCACAATAAAACCTAAACCCTTAAAAAGTGGAGTCTAACTTCCGTCTTCTTTTCGGCCATGTAATGTTGTATCTCTGTTGAATCAGGAGCAGCACCTATTTAAGATGCTTGCACGCAGTAGGTCACGTTTCCCAGCTGCTGTCTTTAAATGCAATTTGGACTAATCTGAGTTCTAGTTCAAAAGCATCCGGACGATCCTGAGGGTTTGCAGCCAGCATTTCCTTAATCAGCTGTTTCATTCGCCCATTCATAGACTTTTTCTTCACAGGGATGAGAAGTTCCATTTTGGGGTTTTCCAGAAGTGCCTCCCCAACAGGCACAATTTCGGTTCCCTGCTTTACGTAACTCCCCAAGAGCTCCTTCTTTGTCTCTGTGTCTATGAAGGTGATCCTCTCCAGCATCGCCCAGATGATAATTCCCAGAGCAAAGATGTCAGCTTTCGCTGTGTAGTGCCCTTCCCATACCTCAGGAGCCATGTAGAAATCTGTTCCACATGCCGTGGAAAGGAAACACTTGTTCACACTGACAGGTTCTTCTGGGTTCTGCCCAGATGCTGAGCAAACTTTACTTAGGCCAAAATCGGCCACTTTCAGCGTGGGCTCCAAGTCACTGGTATCCAGTCTGCTCTGAGAAATCAGGATGTTATCAGGCTTCAGGTCTCGGTGGATGATCTGGTTTTTATGCAAGAAAGCCAGAGCACTGCTGAGCTGAAGCATGAAGCTGGTGTTAGTTTTTCGATTGGGCTTTCTGGACAGCAGATACTCATTCATGTCTCCTCCGTCACAAAAATCCATCACAAACCACAAATAATAGGCGCTTCTGGGGTCAAAGGCAATTTCTCCTTTCAATGAAGTCTCCACCAGCTGTGAGGGATGAGGAGAGAAGTTGTTATGAAATCTGACTATAGAAAGGTTGAAGGGGCTGGAGACAAGACTCAGCAGTTACAAGCTCACTGCTCTCACAGAGGCCGGGATTCAGCTCAATACCCACATCAGTGGCTCACAGCTGCCTGCAACTATAGCTCCAGAGACAATCCAATACTTTTTCTGGCTTCTAAGGGCACCTGCGCTGACACACATATACCCCCTCCCCCAACACAATTAAAATTTAATAAAATAAATCTTTTTTGTTTTTAGACAGGGTTTCTCTGTGTAGCCCTAGCTGTCCTGGAACTTGCTCTGTAGACCAGAACTCCGAGATCCACCTGCCTCTGCCTCCCAGTGCTGGAATTAAAGGCATGTGCCATTACCACCAGCTATAAATCTTAAAAGATATATAAGAAAAAGAAAGAAAGGAAAGAAGAAAGTCAGGTGAGTCTGCAGTTTTGTTTCTGCAGTATTGGTAATTGAACTCAGGTCTTGTACATGCCAGGGAAAGGTTTCTTTTTTTAATTTTTTTCTTTAAGATTTATTTATTTATTTTTATGTATATGAGTCCTCCATCTGCATGTACACCTGCATGCCAGAAAAGGGCATCAGATCCCTGTACAGATGGTTGTGAGCCACCATGTGGTTGCTGGGAATTGAACTTAGGACCTCTGCAAGAGCAACCAGTGCTCTTAAACACTGAGCCATCTCTCCAGCCCCCAGGGAAAGTTTTCTTATACTGAATGGGGAGTGAGGGTGTCACAGAAAAGCTGGCAACAGTCAAAGGTTTAATTAAGCTACCCAAAATTAATTAGAACCAAACTGCAGTGTTTTTACTACATATACAAAGATGTCTGCTTTTGTAGGAACATAATGGTTTAATTGGGGAAAACAAAGTCTTCTGCACTAGCAAACACCAAAGTAGCCTATCGGTGGATTGTGTTATGGTGCTGTTTTCTTCCTTCTCCTTTCTGAGGCAGGACCTCAAGCAGTCCATAAAGGTCTCAATCTCACTGCATAGCTCAAGGCTGGCTGCTTCCACCTCCAGGGCTGAAATTACAGGTGTGTGTGTCACTGCACCTAGCTAAGAGATCTCAAGGTTAAGGCCAGGCTGAGTTAGACAGCGAGGCAGTCTCAGAGAGAGAGACAGAGGTTAAAATTGCTGCTTTAAGATGGGTGTGGCAACACATGCCCATAACCCCAGGACTACGGACGCAGAGGCAAGAGGCTCACCGAAAGCTCTTAGAGCAGAATTTCCAACAGTTTCTAAATTTGCCTTAAACTGTCTACCATTGTGTACTAACACAGTTATATGAAGCACTGTTCTCACCACTAATATTTATAAAATAAAAATAATCAACTGTGGAAAATGCTAAAGAGGCTCTATGTTCTACAGTAACAAACATTCAGTCCAATTTTTAAAATGCATTTAATTGTATTTGTGCGCATGCAACATGGGCCCCCAGAATGACTCTGGGGAGCAGGTTCTCTCCTGCCACCTTGTGGGACTCAAGGATAGAACTCAGGTTGTCAGGCCTGCCATCTCGCCAGCCAAGATTTAACTCTATGTAGAAATGAACAGGTACATTCGCTTCATTAGTGTCTAAATTTGCTTTCTACCTTAAGAAAAGGTAAAATTACGAAGCCAGGTGTGGTGGCACACGCCTGTACTCCCTGCCTCAGCACTCTCTGAGAGGCAGAGGCAGGCGGATTTCTGTGAGTCAAGGGTAACCAAGGCTACTCAGAAAAACCCTATCTCAAAACAAACAAAAAATGAGGTAAAATTATATTTATACCAAAGGATTGCTTTAAAATGAAATTATTTATGACTCATTGTTTGTACATGTTTGATTTGTAGATCTGTTTTTACATACTTTTACACCCAGTGTTATGCACGCATTTCTCTGGCGAGAGGCTCTGAGAGGAAGGATTAGGGAGCTCTGCTCTATCCCGTGAGTCAAGCCCCAGTCCCCAGCTTTAACTGGAAACCTCAGGAATATTTTATTTCATCCGTGTTTTTATATATGCATTATATTTTTTCCAGCACTTCAGAATGCCACCTCTGTTCCTAATGAATACACACTAAATTTCTAAGCCAACAAGTTTTTAAGTAACTGTATTTTGGCAAGTGCCCAACTAGCCTGCATTTTTTACATATGTCAATATAGCTGAGTTCTCCCATCACCTAGCTCATCACTTTATGAAAAGACTAAAATATAGAGGCATATTGCTTTTAAATTATTTATATGGTGTCTTTTTTAGATCAAAGAAAAGGGAAAGAATCAGAGTGGAGTTGTTGGAGAATAAGTAGCTGATAAGTTTACATTTAAATTAATTACTATCACTACTTCATCTGCTCATGATGGCAAAAGCAAAGAACACCCTTTCATTCCGTCTTCCGCAGGCAGAGGGCAGAAATGGTGATGGCCTGCAGGAGTCTCCTTGTTGTGTGGTGTGGCAGTGCAGAGAGAACGCAAACTTAATAAGCAGCTTTGCGTTATGCAGAATACCGGAAGAGTGGTTTAGAAGGCAGGTAGGTGGTGTTCATAATGCTAGCCTGCAAGAAGGGAAATGTATAGTTCTCATGCACTTGTCTAGATAATGCTTGCTAGACTCTGTAAGTCTTAAAAATAGTTTATAACAGTTTTTTAAGTCTGTACCCAGGGTGGCCTTGAACTTATCCTTCTTTTCTCATATGTGTTAGGATTACAGGCATGTGTACCACACCCAGCCGGTTCATAATCCTTCCCGCACCAAGATGTATCACATTTCCTATTACAAGTTCCTACACCATCTATGCCACTAATCTGAAACACACAGACTGGAGGCCGCAAAGCCCCTATGCTCGAGTCCTTGAAACTAACTGTTCCATTTTCTCTTGGTTTTAGCTATGATTCCTACTGAGAACAAGGAAGAATATATCTGGAAAAATATATAGAAAAATAAAAATGTATACAAATAGAGGCCATGCATAGGGACTCTGGCTACACTAGATTTGTGTAATGATTACTGTATTGTTTTAATACAATTCTACTGATAAATTAGTGGTCAAGCATGATGGCCCACATAGTGAGTTAAGGCTAGACAGGGCTACACAGTGAGACTCTATAAGAAATAAAGAAAAACTTGCTTTACTTATTAGATTCATAGAAAAGGCTTTTATTTCAACACAGTACCTATTTCTGAGTTCTTATTTATCAAATCTAGTTTCAGCATCCCCTTTGACTTTGACAATGCCCATGGAAGGCAAAAATGATCACCACACATATAAACAAATAGCTACTAGGAAAGTTGGATTATTTATTTCAAGTCATCCTGAGAGCAGAAAGTGCCATAAATCAAATACAGGTCCATACGGCTTTAAAAGGTGAAAGATTTACTAAAAAGGGAAACTTAAAAACAAAAATCAGTCAAATCTGGTACTTCATATCTTAAAACCTTGAAGGACTAAATAATACCTAATTCTTTTTTTAATTAAATTTTTATTTTTTATATTAATTATAGTTTATTCATTTTGTAGCCCAGCTGTAGCCCCCTCCCTCATCCCCACCCAATCCCACCCTCCCTAATACCTAATACTTGTTACATTCTCTAGATCTGGACTTAGTGCTAAGTCAAATGTGTTAATATCTCTGCTTTTCCATCCAAAGGGATTGTGTACCTTAACCTCTAAAACTTATGTAAAATTGACAAGGTTTAGCAGGTAATATAGTTTAAGCAGTATGCCCCAAACCCTAGGCTCAATCTCTAGCACTGGCCAAAAGAAAAGAAAAGAAAAAAGCAATGTTTCCAATATTTTTCTATCAGGGTAACTTTTAGAAAAGTAAACAATAAAGATAGTTTAAAAATTTAGGATTATTTATTTTGTGTTTGGGGGCGGGTTACGACAGAACACTTGTGGAGGTAAGAGAACAACTTCCGGGAGTCCACTCCATCTTTCTACCATGTGGGACCAGAGAAATGAACTCAGGTTATCAGGCAGCAGACTCCTGTACCCCCTCAGTCTTTTCCCCAAGCCAAACATAGTTTGTGTGCTGTTATTAATTTTTGTTTTGTTAAATCACATCTATCTATCTATCTATCTATCTATCTATCTATCTATCTACCTACCTACCTACCTACCTACCTACCTATCTATCTATGTGCGTGCTTCCATGTGTGCATGTCACAGTGGGACTGTGGAGGCCAGAAGACAACTTTTGTCCTGAACTTCTGATTCAGTCTAGGAAATACCTTCAACTAAATAGACAGGTGAGTCTGATCTTAACCTCCTGAGTCCCCTGGCTCCACCTTTCAAGTACTAGGATTATCGGCATGGACCAATTTAGTCGTGTAAGGCTTATTATATTTAGACCTGTGGCTTATAGAAGAGAAGTCCAATTACCTGTGGGTGTGGCTATTACTGACTACGGTTTTTTTTTGTCTTCCGTGTTTACTTTCAAAACAATGGTTTCCAGAACTGAACTCAGATGCTAGTCTCAAAGCTCCTTTAGTTCCCATCTTGTCCTATTGCTATGCTGACTGGCAAGTAGCAGGCAATGGCAGGTGGCTTATGCCATTTTTAGGTATGTGCAGCACATTTAAAGCACACATCTCTATCCTCTGTGGACCTCTCTCTACACCTGCATTTAAGAGAGTTCATCTGACACTTTCATTTCCTCTTGCTGACCAACATTACGTCCATTTCCTATCCAGTGACACATACCTGCAAATAAAGGGAAGAATTAGAGCCGTGGGACATCTTTTGCACCATCCCATCTTTTTGTAGAATGCACTCTTCCAAGTGAATCACATTGGGGTGTTGGCTCTTGATACTGCTTAGTGCCCAGAACTCTCGAAGGGCTAGTTCAACATTTTCAGGTGCGTGGCATCGAATTTTCTTCACTGCTACTCTTGCAGAGGTCTTTCTGATGACTGCTTCATACACAACACCGTAACTACCTCGGCCTACCTCCCGTATTAGATCGTACTTTGGCTGGCTACTCACCATCTTCAAGGTCGAGGTTTCTGGAAAAATCAACAAAGTACTTTGTTGAAATGAGGTGTACCTATTGGCTTGTATTCTTACCCATGATTCAACCATCTATTTCACTGTCTGTGGTACTTGAAGGGTATCTAGCTGCACATTGGACAAATCTACCAATAAAAGGTAACAGATAGCACTTACCACGTATCAGAAACTATTTCGGGTACTTTACAACAGTTTTTAAAGTTTTGTTGTCTTTGAGTCAGAATCTCGCTAAGTTTCCCTGGCCTGGAGCTTGAGCTAGAGACTAGGCTGGCTTCAGAAGCCATGCTGACGGTACCATCATTCCTGACCTTTTTTTAAAATCTTGGTGTGTGACTGCAGGCATGCCCATACCACGACACACCAGTCAGATGACCTTGGCTCTCCTGTCACTTTTACAGCATATGGCAGCCTGAGAACTACTGCAGACTCCACTGTCTCTGCCTCTCATCTCCCCACAGGAAGGCACATCTGGCTTTACCTGGGTTCTAGGAATCCAAACTCAGTCCCTCATGACTACTCCTTGAACTCTCCTTCTCCAGGCTCCATCCACCCACTCCTTTATTGAACAAGGTCTCACTATGTAACCCTGGCTGGCCTTCAACTGACAGAGATAAGCCTGCCTGTGCTCCCCCAGTGCTAGGATTAAAGACTTGTGCCATCATGCTTTTTCAAAAGACAGGATCTTGTGTATCGTGGCGCTCAAGGTGGCTTTCACTTCTTTTAAAGTTGTAGTATATATTTTGTATGCATGTGTACGGCTTTGTGGACATCAGAGGACAATACATGGGAGTTAGTTCTCTCCCACTACCATGTGGGTGACAGGAATTGAACTCATGTCATAAGGACTGGCAGAAAAAGCCATCTCAACAGCCCTGGCTGCTTCTCTCTGGAATGATAGAATAACAGGTGTGTGATACCACACCTGGCTACTTTATATTTATATTAACTTCATTTAATCCTTAACCATAATCTGTGTAGTAATGAAACAGGTGTGGTAATAGCATTTTAGAAGTGAGCAAATTAAACCACAGAGAGGGTAACTAAAAAGCCAGCAACCAAACAGCCCTTTAGTTGAGATACCCATGCTTTAAGCCACTAAACTACACTGCTTCTTATAGGTACACCTTGAAAATGCCATTGTTAAAAAAGTCAACCTGAGCCAGTGGTGGTGCACGCCTGTAATCCCAGCACTCAGGGAGGCAGAGGCAGGTGGACCTCTGTGAGTTCAAGGCCAGCCTGGTCTACAGAGCTTGTTCCAGGTCAGCCAAGGCTACACAGAGAAACACTGTGTCAAAAAAAAAAAAAAAAAAAAAAAAGTAAACCTGGAATTTGGAATTAATCAGAAGTGGTGGCTACACCTTTGATCCCAGCACTCAGGGAGATCTCTGAGTTCCAGGACAGCCAGGGATATACAGAGAAACCCTGTTTCAACAAAGCAAAGCAAAGCAAAGCAAAACAAAACAGTGAAACACAAAAATCCCTCACAGAAATATAAACTCCTGACTTATGCTTACCGGCTAAAAGTGAACAAGACCACCTCCTTATGCTTTGAGTATAAGTAGTATAGCCTGTAGTTCAGACTAGCCTTGAACTCACTATGTAGCAGAAGCAGAAGGTGACCCTGATACTAATCTCCTGCCTCCACCTTCCCAGAACTGGGCTTATAGACAAGTACCAGTATGCTTGGTAATTTAGTTCTTATAAAATAAACACAAATAAAAGTTTTTGCAGACATGTCCCCTCAAAATGAAGTAAGCCGATTTGAACAGAACTACCTTCCAATTGTCTTAACACAGGTATTTAATTCTAGGTCCTTTTTTTTTTTGCCAAAGGGGAAGCCTCTTATACATCAAAGAGAATTCTCTGACAAAAGTTCTTTGGAGTTTAACTTAGTAAACCATTTAAGGGCAAGCTGGAGCACAGGCCCTACAGAGCAATGTTCTTTCGGAGTGGAGAGTCTGCCGGGTGCTTCCTCAGTCCTCAAAAGCTCGCTCACTCGCCGGGCCGTCACCACGGGCAGGAAAAGTTAAGGCTGTATTTACATTGCACAACTAGGAAAACAAAAAGCGACTGACCCTGGACGCCGAGGCTGCCGGAACAACTAGTTTAAGTTCATAGGCCAGATTTAAAAGAAAACGACTGTTTCCGATGGATGCCCTGAGCGTTACTTCCTTTAACTGGCCGCCTACCCACCAAGTTCCTACTGTATTTCCTAACGTCAGGTTTCCTGCCACAGGCGGACATTCTGCCCCGCTCCGCGTGATCCCCAGCTTCCAAGTGCCTCCCCTCTCTGCGGCAGTCCCCGCCTGGGAGCCTCCGGGGAGAGGGGTCCCTCCTGCATGAGAAAGGAAGGCTGTCTGTCAAATGCTGGGGGTCCTGGGTGGAGAGACGCCCGCTCCAGCATCCTTCGAGAACCCGGGGACCTCACAATGTCACTTCCGGACCCTCCAGCCTGCCACGCTGCCGGCTGCCGGGCACGGCCGGCCCGGACGTGCACCTGCCAGTGGCCGGGAAGGGACGGGCCAGGCGGCGCTGCCGACGCGGAGGCTCAGGCCGAGCCCACTGCCCGGGCGGCAGCATCGCTCCGGGCGGCAAGCCCGAGGGACCCTCCCGCGGCCCTCCGGCCGGCCCCGCAGCCACGGCGAACGGCCGCCGCTGCGGGCCCGGGGGTGTCCGGGAGGGGCCCGCGCGGGGCCGGAGGCCGCGGTCCCGGTGGCCGGGGCAGCGCCGGGCCTTTCCGGGGATGACTCCGCTGAGAGGTCTCCGACGGGCCTGCTGGGGACAGAGACACATGCGGGGAGGTCGGTTCTGACTGCGGGGCGTCCGTGCCGCGGCGAGGGGCCAGATTTACCTCAGGGCAGCCGCCGCCGCTTCTCCCTCTCCTGAGCTCTGCAGGCCGCCATTATCGGGCGGCTCGCGCCTCGGCTGCCGCGGCCTCCGCTCAGAAGCTGGCGCGCGCCCCCGGGGCTGCGCGGACACACCCCCTCACGCCGGGCCCCGCCCCCGCCGGCTCTGCGCAGCGCGCGTGCGCGGCCGAGCGCCCCCTGCCGGCCGAGCGCCTCGCCGCCTGCGCCGCTGCGGGTGCCGCTGCGGTCGCCGCTGCTCGGAGCCGAGCGTCGCCAGCGGTGTGCGCGCTGCAGGGCGGACCCCCGGTGCCCCGGCCCGCAGGGGTGGCGGCGGGGACGGTCGTGAGCCCCGGGACCCCGGGGAAGCCACGGCCGCCGCTCGGGGCCGGCAGCGCACGTGGCCGCCCTCCCCGCCCTCTGCTGACCTACCGAGCGGCGGGCTGGAGTGCGCGGTTCGCTGGGGCCGGACGCCCGGCGCATCTTCCTCGCTGGTGGCAGGGCTGGGCGGGGAGGCGCGGGGAGGCTGCACCTTCTGTCCGGATCACGGAGCCGTGTTGGCGGGCTGGCCCAGGCGGCGACGCGGGGCTGGGTGCGATCATCCGGGAGGATGCCGTCCCCTGCCCCACCGGTGCGGTGGTATCTTCCTTAAAGAAGCCGGAACCTCATTGTTCCCGGCCGTGAGAATCGGGGCGCCCTGCCGGGCGAGGGAAGGAGGGCGCGGCGGACTTGGCTGCGGCGCCCCGCCTAGCCGGCCTGAACCGGAGTCCGGACTCACGTAGGAGGGTGTGTCGACAAGACAGGTCGCCGCGGACCAGGATTGACGGCCAGAACTGCAGTCCTCCGGAAGGTGGGCGCTTCGGGACCAAGCCTTTCAGATACTCCCAACTGTCAGTCATATCCCTGAGTCGCCCTGAGATCTGCCATCGGGCTGACAGCCGCTCGGAGACCAGGACCGACTGACCGGCCCCGTTAGTTACACAGGTTCAGTAAGCGCCCGCCAGAAACGCCCATTCTTTTCATTATTCTGCACCCACTGCCAGTTAATGATCCTGCCCTCCTTGCCGTGTAAGGCATGGTGAAAATCTGCCACTGCCCCCAGGATCATTTTCCTTAGTCTTCTCTTCATGAGACTACTATTTGGGGTCTGGGCAACGTTTTTATACAGTCTGAGCCAGACCCCAACAGAAAAGGCTTTCCTAGACCCCACCTTCACAGGAGAGAACGCCATCTTCTGCCACATTTGACCAAAAGGTGTCAAATAGCCACCCCCGGCCCCTGGTGTAACCACCTCAAAGCCTCTCTCCTAATAGAACTCCAGTAATCTGTTCAGAGTGTGTCCGGAGTGCCATCCTGGCCCTGGTGTTCACAAGTCCGTCAGGACTTGTTTCCTGCCCTGGAAAGTGGGGGGGGGGGGGCATGAATGCTGTGTAGACAGCTGGCTGTCAGTGTTACAGAAGGATGGGCTGGGAAGAGGGCTCGGTCAGAGCAGCCTTCTTCGTTTCTGTCATTAAAAGTCACAGGAACTTCAAGCGACACGTGTATTCTGGCTGCTTTCCTGTTGCTGTGATTAAAAAGGAAAAAAACAAAACAAAAAAACTGACCAAAAACACCTTAGGGAAGGCAGAGGTTTGTTTGGGTTTGTTTGACTTAAGCCTCCAGGGCTAGGGTCACAAATAAGTCACTGAGGGAAGTCAAGGAAGGAACTGGAGGAAGGCTACTTACTGGCTTGCTCGTGGTTCAGCTACCTTTCTAAAACAGCTTGGCTTGCCTGCCTGGAAATAGCACTGCCTGCTTTGGCTGATCAAGACCCCCCCAGATATGCTCACAGGCTAGTCTGATAGAGGAATCCCCCTTCCATTCCACACTTCCTCAGGTAGCCAAACTGTCAGGTTGACGACCAAAGCTCACTAGGAGACCAGTGTTTTAGAATGTGCCATTTTCACTGTTAATAATAAACACAGCTGCTCACATCTTGAACTTCTTAAAGGCCTCTCATCAATCCAACACAGGAAGAACGACTCCACATGCTGCTGGCGTTCCTTTGTCTTTGAGGCAGGGTCTCTCCATGGCCCTGGCTGTCCTGGAGCTCACTCCTCACTCCGTTGACCAGGTTGGCCTTGAACTCAGAGATCCACCAGCCTCTTCCTCCTGAGCGCTGGGATTAAAGATGTGTGCCACCATACCTGACCAAACTTAAAAAGAAAAAAATATCTGTGTTTGTATGATGTGTGTAGGGAAGTCAGAGGGCAGGTCCATTCTCTCCTTTCACCTTTGGGTGGATTACAGGGATTGAACTCTGCTTGCCAGGCTTGGGTATCCAGTGTCCCTACCTGCTGGACCATCAAACCAGCCCAACCTGGACCTCTTGATCCTCTTGCCTCTGACTCCCTACCCTCTGGGGTGGGGGTGGGTTTACAGGAGCATACCATCATGCCTGACCTAACTGCTTATATTTAAAAGAGAAACAATGGGGCAGGCGTGGTGGCACACTTGGGAAGCAGAAGCAGGCGAATCTCCATGGGTTCAAGGCCAGCCAGCGCTATGGAGTGAGCTCAAAACGAAAGATAAACACGGGAAGAATTAAACACTGCTTCTGTATATACGCCACTGTCTATATTCATAGGAGAGAGAAAGACAGGGATAATTAAGCTACTGGAGCCAGGTGGGGTGGCATGCTCCTTTGATCCCAGCATTCAGGGAGGCAGAGGCAGGCAGATCTCTGTGTGTCCGAGGCCAGCCTGGTCTACAAAACGAGTCTAGGACAACCAAGGCTACACAGAGAAACCCTGTCTTGGGGGAAAAAAAAAGGTTTAGACCAACAGAATCTCTTAGAGGGCACCCTACCCTCTTCACTCTACCCTTTAGCTGCCTGAAGGCTGCGCAGCGTGTTCCTGGCTTCTGTGAGCTGACAGGTGCTGCCGCAGGCGACGAAGTTGTCTTTGAGTCATTTCTGCTCGTAAGTAACCGCAATAAATCTCAGGGCTCACCGAGTTGGACTTTGGCGGTATCTGTACTTCGGTCTGTTGTGGGCTTCCCATCCGCCGTGAGTGGTGGTGTGTTGCCTCTCCCCAGGAACAGCCTTGTCACACAATAGTTATTCTCCGGCCTCCACATCATACAAGAGAGGTACAGTTTAAAACAAAGTTCAGGGTCATCCTGTGTGACAGAGTGTGTTTGGGGCCAGCCTGAGTTATGTGAAACATGTCTTCAGGAAGAAGGAAGGAAGGTGAGAGTGGGCGTGGTAGTTGGGTGGCTAATGGCAGCCCCCGTGAACCCTGAAGATCTGTTTGATCCTGAGAACCCACATGGTGGAAGCAGAGAGCTGACTTCTACGGTTGTCCTCTGACCTCCACACCCAGGCTTTGGTATGTGTGGGGAAAAAACAGCAAAAGCAAGGCTCAAGATGCCACCGAGAGATAGAGCACAGGCGTAGTGTGGGTGATGCCCCCACAAACCCGCACTGAAAGAAGGCGGTCAAGATTTAAAGGGAAGGTGGTGGCACAGGAATGTGACCGTTGCACTCCTGAGGATGAGGCGAGGGTATCCTGAGCGCAAGGCCAGCCTGAGGTACGCGGACACTTCCTCGAACAGTAACAAGAACAAAAAAAGAAACCGGTCAATGCTCTTTTGGAAGTACCTGCCTGCCTTAGCCTTTCTACTGCTACGGCGAAACACGGGGACCAAAAGCAGCCCCTGTCCCCATGCAGAAGGGTTATTTTGCTTCTACTTCCTTATTGCTGCTCGTCATCAAAGGAGTCAGGCCAGCACCTCAAACAGGGTACAGCCCGGGGAGCAGGAGCTGACGCAGAGGCCATGGAGGGTGCTGCTTCCCAGCTTGTTCCCAGCGGCTTGCTCAGCCTGCTTTCTTATAAAACCCAGGAGCACCAGCCCAGGGACGGCCCCACCCACAATGGGCCCTCACAGTGGGCATCAGTCACTAAGAAAATGTCCCTCAGGCTTGCCTACAGCCTGATCTTATGGAGGCGGATTCTCATTGGGGTTCTCACTCTGGCTCGTATCAAGTTGGCATAAAACCCACCTGGCGTGGTAACTGTTCTCAGCACCGGGGTAGAAGCCGTGAGCTTGGGTCACCCTGTTTCTAGAAGCCAGAAAACTACTAAAGACTCATAGGTCGAGTAAAAACGACCAAGGAACCAGTCCAGGGGGCAGTGGCCAAAGATGAAGCAATTTCAATGTTAAAAGGCAAAGTCAGGCATGGTGGCTCTCACCTGTAGAGTATTGCCATGAATTCAAGGCCAGCCTCAGCTACACAGCCAGAACCAGTCTCAAAAACATCCAGACACCAGGGTCAGAGAGATAGCTGAGTTGGTAAACGCCCACTGTGAAAACAGGAGGGCCCTAGTTATGATCTTCAAAACCTATAAAAGCAAACAAAAGCAAAAAACAAAACAAAACAGGCACTGTGGTGCATGCCTGGAGCCTGTGGAACCTGAGCGGAGGACGGTGATTGAGAGGAGACAGGTGGATCCTTGGAACTCACTGGCCAGGCAGCAGAGCTGAGTTAGTGAGCGGCTGCTTCAGTGAAGGGAGCCTGTCTACAGGCCCCATGCCTATCACGTGCGTACACACGTAAGTGCACACTCGTACCCAAACTCACATGTCTGCACACTTTTGAATGCACACACCTACACTAAGAAATCCCTACATACAGCGCTCAACACCACAACAAAGACTATTTTAGCGGATTGTGTAAAAACCTATTAATTTACACTGTATACGTAATATTAGCCTGGCTAGTCTTCACAATTACATTTAAGGAAAATACATCTGTTACCTCTATCATAAATAAATAACTATTGCTAAAAAATTGTGGCCCACATTTAATCCCGGTGTTCAGGAGGCAGAGGCAGGCCAATCTCTTGAGTTTGAGGCCAGCCTGGTCTACATAGTGAGTTCCAAGATAGTCAGGGCTACACAGTGAGACCTTGTCTCAAAAAAAAAAAAAAAAAAAAAGGAAAGGGAACAAGAAGACGAGGAGAAAAACATTTTTCTGGTCTTTTATGTTTTATATCTGAGATAACTAAATAGTAGGCTGTTTAAAGTTACTTTCCATAGAATTCCAAGCAATAAATAGATAAGAAATAATAAAGTTGGAAAGGCAGAGCTTTTCAAAGCCTA